CTGAGTTAGAGGTCTGCAGGTGCTATGCTGTCCCCAGTACTCAGAACACTTGAGATAATGGCATCTGGAGGAAGTTCTTTGTTGGGACAGGACAGTGTTTTAAACTTTGAAGTCCTTAATAAACAAAAGGAAGCAGCTGGAATCTGGCAGAAGAAGAAACAAGCCATTCATATCAACCCATGCTATTAAAGGAATGAGATGAGAGCACTGCACTGGAGTTGTTTTTACATATGCTTGGAACTTCATTAGCATAGAATCATAGAAGGGTTTGGGTTGGAAAAGACCATAAAGATCATCAAGTTCCAATTCCCCTGCCATGGGCAGGGACACCTCCCACCAGACCAGGTCTCTTAGAGCCCCATCCAGCCTGGTCTTGAACACTTCCAGGAATGGGGCATCCACAGCTTCTCTGGGCAACCTGTTCCAGTGTCTCACCACCCTCACAATCAAGAATTTCTTCCTACTGTCTAATCTAAATCTGCCTTCTTTCAGTTTAAAACCATTACCCTTGTACTATTGCTCCACTCCCTGATAAAGAGTCCCTCATGTAGGTACTGGAAGGCTGCTATAAGGTCTCCCTGGAGCCTTCTCTTTGCCAGGCTGAACCCCAACTCTCTCAGCCTGTCTTTAGGAGAGGTGCTCCAGCCCTCTGATCAGCTTTGGACCCATTCCAACAGGTCCATGTCTTTCCTGTGCTGAGGACTCGAAAGCTGGACACAGTACTCCAGGAGGGGTCTCATGAGAGCAAAGTAGAGGGGTAGAATCACCTCCCTTGACCTGCTGGCCATGCCGCTTTTGATGCAGCCCAGGATGTGGTTGGCTTTCTGGGCTCAAGTGCACATTCCTGGCTCATGTTGAGTTTCTCATCCATGACCACCCCCAAGTCCTTCTCCTCAGGGCTGCTCTCCAGCCATTCTCTGCCCAACCTGTATTTGTGCCTGGGACTGCTGTGACCCACGTACAGGATCTTGCACTTGGCCTGGTTGAACTTCATGAGGGTTTTCACGGGCCCACCTCTCAAGCCTGTCCAGGTCCCTCTGGATGGCATCCCTTCCCTCCAGGGAATGATGAGGATGTCAAGCAGAACAGTGTCAAACACTTTGCATTATTCTTGCTCTGGAAGTTACCTTCTTCAGTTGTTATGTTAGAAAGCAAAGGAGAGTTGCTGGAAAGCGATGGTTGTTTTTAAATTTTAGTAAGTAGATAATTACAGTAATTATGGTTCTGGTTTTATACTGAAACAATAACCTGCGTCCTGATCCTTCACACCTCTCCCTATTTGTTTTTTTGAAGATAGCTCTTTTCACTTATAAGATATGGGTCTGTTTTACGTCTGGATAGATCAAAAATAGAAGTTTTATTTATTGTGTGGACACTAGCTTGAAGGAGTTAAAACACATGTTTTTTATTTGGCTTAAAAGTCAGACTTGTTTAGTCTTTTTATTTTGCCAAATAGAAAAATTTAAAAAGAAAGATTTAAACAGTTTTCCTTGTTCTTATTGTTGCCATATGGTGTTAGTAACCAAACCTCCCTTCAGTGTGTTTAATTCCTTTCCCATTTGGCATACATTCACAGTACACTTGTATATAGCATACTCTCTGTGTGACGATACCTCTTAGAGAAAAAACTCCCTTCACAGGTCACTGGATGGATGACACACCATTAATTTTTATGTTTCTGTTACACAAAGATCTGGAAATTTAGTACTGGACATGAATTTGTTACAGATTGCCAAGAGCAGGAAAAATCTCTCATCTGAAATCTGACCTTTTCCATCAGTCAGTCACCAGGATGTTTTCAGTCACTATTGAGTTTCTACCAGTCAGGGACTGTTATGCACTTATTAAGAGTGTCAGTTTTCACATTTTATATGAATGTATTCTATTAGGCAGTGACAATGAATTTGGAGAACTGGAGGTCATCTCAGGGCACATGTTCCATTTATTGGATTTTAACAAGGAAAATTTTTATAAATACATGTAAGTACATGATTACAAAATTGTACTGTGTACTTCTAGAGCCTCTAAAGAGGGGGGGAAAGCTGTGAAGATTACCTGCCTTCCTGCCCTGCACTGCTTTGTAAATGGAGGAGTTTTCCATTCTGTTTTTATGGCATTATCAAAAGATTATAAACAGCATTGGAATTTGCGTATTTGTTGTGGTGAAGAGCTCAATGTTTAAGCGGAAGCCATCTTAATGTTGGTTATAAGCTGTTCTCTGATGGGGGGAAGAAATAAAATGGAATATCACATTGTTGAAGAAGGAACTGGCCAGGGACTATACAAGTGCTATCAGTGATGTACAAAAGGCAGATACAGACACCACTAAATGTGAGCAGGAACACGGGCATTTAAACCTGTGTGCTTGTATTTGTGTATTTTTTCACATACCCATGCCTATATGTTTATATGAGTGTGTTGTATGCACTGTGCTCACACGGGGTTAGATTAAGCAAGAGGTGATAATGATAACGCACATGTGACAGTAACTCAGTAGTTGTGTCCTTGGGCCAACGCAGAGTTTCAGGACTCGTAGCTTTCTGTCCTGGAATGTTACAGTCATGGAGCAGAATTTCCCATGTAGCTGAAATAAGATATCCATAGGTTTTTTTTATAGTTAAAATTCTGAAAAAAACAGGTCCTGTATTTTCTGTATGCATCTAACAAAGTCAAAAACTTCAGATTTCTGTTTTTAAAAAAAGGGAAATTTTTACTTCAGGTCTTTGTAAACTTATCTTTAAGGATATTTTAGATAACTCAGGACCTGGTCACTTTTCTGTTGAGCAAGTAGATGGAATTATTCTTTAATATTTCTAGCCTTTTAACATTTTATAGCTATCATAAAAGTATGTCTGTAAAATATATTAGAGTATCTGCTAAGGAGAATGTAGACCAATATGATATTTTCTTTCAGCAACCTAGAATCGCATACCTGGGAAGTTACTGTGGAGCCTTGGGATAAGGGAATATCCACACCACCACCGCCTTTTTCTTTTTTTTTTTTTTTTTTTTTTTTTTAACAAACTTTAAAACAGCTGTTGAAACAATGACATCATGGAATGTGACATGACTGGAAACTGCTAACAAAGTCAAGCTTTGAAAGCATCAAACTACATAAAGTGTTGGAGAGTTGCTTTAGTGTCTAGCATGATTTACAAGGTTTCCTCAGGCATTACACGTTCACATCTTTACCAATCTTTACCCTTCTGAATAGCCTATTTTTATCATGCAAACATGGCTACAGACTAAGCTTGTGGAAGTACTTCTGGAAAAACAAAACATGTATGTTGCTTGCACGTCTTTGTGGTGTTACCATAAATGTGCTTTTGAATCATGTTCAGAAGACGTAGGATTTCTCATGTCTTCTTATGTGGCAGCTGTGCTTTGTAGAGGGATTCAGGCTTGGGGTGTCGAAAGCTGTCCTACTAGTGAGGACAGTCTGGTGAAACTATGGACATGGCTTCTTGCAGACTGCACAAGCAGTTGTGGTGCGCAGGTGACAGACACCTTGATGTCCTAGGGACACAAGAAGGGCTCATGTGCTCTTGCCGCCCCTCCAGCACCCTGCCTTCCCAAGGGGCAGGAGGCTTGGCTGGCACGGGTTGCTGCATGTACTGGCTTTACTGTCTTTGGCCCCATCCCTGTTTGGCTTCCTAGGCTGTTGGCAGCTGTTCTGGCAAGAAAAACACTGGGTGAGATTTTATTTTAGCAGTGGGTTTTTGTTGTTTTAACTAGCCGTTTGAAGTGTGCTTTTTGCAAGTCAGATGAAAGCAGATCACTACTACAGTGACATAGTAGATAATTAACTGGGGTGAAAGAAAGCCTAACTTCTTGGTTTTATTGGGAAAATAATGTTTTAATTACCTAGTCTATCACAGAGGAAGGAAGAATTGCTACAGCTCATTGGGATATGAACAAAGTCCAAGAGAGCCTTTGCTGTTGTACAGAGACTCATGTTTGTTTTGCTTGTAGCTGCTGCACTTAAAATAAATGTCTCAAGGACAACTGAAATCTCAAAATGCTCTTTCAAAACTCACCCAAAAAAAATGTTTGTGTGGATGAGTGGATGAACGTTGTACCATTCATCCAACACCATTTTTCCTCTCCTCCTGTGTCTGGCATCTGATTCATGTCTTGCTCCCCCCTGCTCCATGAATTGATTCACCTTCTCTCCTTTGCCTAAACGTTGTAACTCTTACCTGTGGCCCTTCTCCCTTCCAGTGCTGCTGGAAGCTCTGTGACACGTGTCCCCCTTCCTTGCAGGGGCTACTGCCATGGTGGTGGCTGTGCTGTGCAGGGGCTTGTCCCTCTCCCAGGACATCCCACGTTTTTCAAGGTCAGATGGCAAGAATGGGAAGTGGCAAGGTGCTATCTCAGACTTGCTGGAAGATGAACGTGGTTTGTAAAGTCCTGCAAGTCACATCTCCAGGGAGCAGGCTGTGTACATTTTCTTTGAAGTCTGTCAGAGGCTGAAAGAAGGGAGATAAACCACCAAGGAGTAGCACCAAGGACCCTTAATGAGCCAGGGAAATGGCCTGGGGATAGGGAATAGCTGAAACAACTTCTCACCTGTGTTTTGGGCAGCTGAAGCATTGATAGGCTGTTTTTTCTCTGTAGAACTTGTAGCCAGTTGCTTCAACTGGATACTGTCAGTATCTATGGGTCTCATTTCATTTCTGTAGAGAACAGCAGTATTCATATTTGTTTTGGGTCTACTGGAGATTACCCATGTACGTGTGTGTGTCTGTATAGTGTATCTGTGCCTGAATACAGCCCAGTCTGTATATGCACAGAAATCCATCCCTTTGTTACCTGATCAAGAGAACAGTGATGGCAAAACCAGCACTCCTTGAAATGCCTCAAAACTGTGGACAGTAACGGATCTGTGTCTTTGTATTTCCAGCAGTGATGCAATATGGAGATTACTCCAGTGCTGTTCAGTTGTTTGTTACAGACAGTAAATAATGTGTTTTGTACTGCTTTGTTTATTTTTTTTTTAGGAGAGGATGCTGCTCCACATTTAAATTCACATGTTTCTGCGGAAAAGGTGTCAGTGAAGCTGCCTTCCATGAACAGAGAGAACGAAACGCAGAGTATGAGCAGTGTACATGGCAATTCAGATTCTTCAGGGACAGAGACATTTTAAAGCTTGCACCTTTTTATGACAGTCACTGTCTGAAGATTTTGTCATTGGTACATTTGTCTCCCTGCTGTGATAGTTTGGATGTTTCATCAAAATTCTAGTCTGTTTATTTTCTAATATTTTTCTTATAATTTTGTTATGGTGATAAAGTTAGACGATGATTCTGTTTGTGAATATATCAAATATTTTTAAGCAAATAAAATGCAATTATATCAGAATCATTGTGAGTTTAAATCAGTAAGAACCATTTACATATTTATTGTACATATAGGTGAATGTGGAGATGATTAGTGTTAAGATCCATGGCAAAAGCTGTCCCGCTGATGGAAAAAAATGCTTGGCTCATTACAGTGTCAGTACTATCAAAATGCTGAGCCAAAGGGAAATATATTTGAAATCAAAGTTTGCAAGAAAATTGTATCTTCAGAGCTTGTGCATCCTTAGAAGACTGCTATCACAAGACAGTAATTAAAAATTGTATCTGAAAGAGACCATTAGAATTTGAGGAACTATGAGAAATTTTTTTTTTTTTTTCTGTAATTACAAGAATTTTTCAGCATTTTTGGTATTTGTTTCCCTAAAGATTTTTTCCCATCTTGAAACATGTCTGAATGAGAGATTGTGTGGGTAGGGTTACTCCTCATGAGACAGAGGTGGTTGCTGCAGTCTCAACCCTTCAGAAGCACAATAAGCTTTAGCCTCCCAGAGACTGTTCAGTTTTTTATTGTTTCAATCAGGACAATGTGGTCGATCCAGCAGTGTCAGTGGGGGTAGGCAGGATCATCTGCCCCAAGCAGTATCTAAGTAGAATAAGAAAGAGGAATTCAGACATGTTCCAGTAGGAAAACTAGGAAAGGAACTCTTTTCCAGACAGGGCAAACACAGCTTTTTCTCTGCTCCTCAACCAGCCTGAGCTTTTCATGGGATATCTGTGGAAAAGAGGAGATACTGTGGCACTTTCAAAGACATGGGGCATGAAGGCATCTCTCAAAAGCTCGGTAGGTACTTCTTTTTGGTTGACTTGTACCTTGTTGTGACACCAGAGCATATAACTTCATCTGTGCAGCTTCCCTGCATCGCTTAATAAGAGGCACTTTGCTGTTGCAGATACTCTTAACCATGAACAGTTCCCATTACTCTTACTTTATGGAGCCTGCACTGATTTAATCTCTCCATAATAGAGAAAGATTAGAAGTTCCTCTTGGTTTTATTTTGATCTCATTGGCCGCAAAGTTCAGTTGATTTGCTGCAGAATCTGCAAGGGTAAGTGGAAAAAGAAAGAGCTGCAGCCATAAGGTTGGTAACATCCAGAGGATTCAACATCAAAGGGAGTCTCTTTAGCGTGTTGTAGAGTTGATTTCTTGTCTGTCTTGACAGACATGTAAATAGTGGATTTGGGTGAGGGGTAAAAGCATGGCAGGCTTCATGCAAAATGCAACAAAAAGAGAAGATACAGATGAGACGGCATCACTGGGAGCTGGTTTCCAGTGTGTGATGCCACAAGTGCTGTCTCCAGTGGTAAAGCTGCTTCTGAGTGTTCTTACACCGTGACAAGCCACCAGCAGACGAGAGTATCTATGAGGTTGTGCTGATGCTGCTGCCTGTGGAATTGCACCATAAATCAGACTATTGACACAATCAATGCTTTAAACGGCAACAGCCTTTTTTAGGAAGGTGAAGATGATTTACCCAGCATCTCTTTGCTACAGCCAGGCATCAAGTAGAACAACTGCCAGGATAATGAAATGCACTGGGGAGAACAAGGGTTTCTTAAACCAACTTTCCTCCAAGGGAAAAACCTTCATCAAACTGTTCCGTGCACTGGGACGTCAATCTGCTAGGGTGTTGGTTTTTTTAAGATGCTACTACATAATTTAGGTCCCCTTTGTTGCACTGTAAATGGTGAATGAGCTGTGCTGCCCCTGCGCCTGGATCAGGACTGTGCTTCGCTAAACAAAGCTCAGTAATGGAACTGAGCACGGGCAGAGAGCTGACAAACTGAGGATGAGACAGGAGGCAGCAGATGGGTACACAGACGAGGAGAGCGCACAGGAAGGGATGAGACAGCACTTGCTGGTGGGAGAGGCAGTTATCTCATCATTCCAGGAAAATAACTGTCAGATTTTAACTGTCTGCAGCGCTGAGCACCTCACGTTTTGCTCTACATTCTCTTGTTTTTCTCTTCTTGTGAACAAATGCCTTTAAGTCAAAGGTGTTGTGGTTGTCATTGGCTGAAGACAGTCGGCTGTGAAGACCATTTTCAATCAGTTTTGAAAATTCCCCATAGAGTTAAATTCTCTCCCAACTCAACACGACTGAATGATCTTTCCGGAAGCTTCTGAGTGCCTGGCACTGTGCTAGAAAGATCTGCTGCTGGTGGGGATTACATTGTGGCAGTAGGGTGTGCTAATTTTTCATCCCCACTGCAACCTCCACTCTTTCCATTCAAAAAGAATTTTGGAGAGGTGAAAAAAGTGCAAACTGTTTGCTTTTCCTTCCCCATAGCTTCCCCAAAATGAAGTATTCTGTCACATAAACAAAAGGAGACCTCTGTAAATATGGCACCACGTGCACAGATTGTATTACAAGTATTTATATTCCTAGGAAAAGTAAAGGCAGCAGAGAGGGGGCCTGGGGGGAGGTGGGGTTGCTTTGGTTTTAATCAGAGTCTCTATTTTTCCTTTTTAATACAAAAAAAGAAAAAAAGTATCTTCTAGAAATTTATCTATTTCTTACTTTTGGATTCAGTCTTGTATTTCAGATTCCTGTAAATAGTTTTCCGGAGTTTAAAATGGTAAGCACATGTTCTGTGAACACAGCCAAGTTGTGATAAGGAATTCGTCTGTCTGTGTCTCCAAGTTCCATTTTGTTTCCGCAGCTTTTATGATTGAAAATGCACATTTCTCATGGGCACTCACAGAACTGAAACAGCATGATTTACAAGCTCGCTAAATGGATTTCTTCCAAGCAACTCATTGGGGTATGTCATCAAAGCTTAACAGCATCAAATAGAATTCCATCCAGGAAAAGTATTAAAAAAACACCACTATACAGCTATATTTTTCAGTTAATTCTCAGCAGCAGAGGTGGGGGTTAGGAAAGTGTTACTGGATTTCAGGATCATAGTGTGGAAACCAAAACCCTGGCTTTATTTTTTGGTTGAAATGAATTCCTGGTGAAGCTTCCTTGTATTTTCCCTTAGGAAAGCACTCAAATGATAGTATTTGTTCATGCATTGGACTTGCAGTATAAAAATGTGCAAAACTGAAATGTCAGCAGTGTTTATATTTGTAGAGCATCTCTTTCTGACTTTGGTAAGTAAAATCTGGCACTTGAGATGTGAAGTGCTCAAAATTGAGTTTTTTTTTTTCTCCTACTCTCCCCCTCCCTGAAGAAAAAAGTGAGATGCTGTATGGTGAGGACGATAGCAATAAAGAGGACGGGTGGATCTACAGTTCCTAGCACAGGCAGAGCACACCTGCCTCCAGCAGAGGCTCTTGGGACAGGACTCCAGCCATAAACTGGTAAGTGGTTTGTCTGATGCCAGTGTCACCCTTCCCCTGTTCAGATGAGTTATCTTGCTTTTCAGTATACGAAGCAGAAAATTCCATGTGCACGCCTAATCTTATCTGAATTGTGGGAAAGTGGATAAAGTGAGTTTTCTGTTATTTCTGTTCACCTTCATAGCTCAGAGATGGAAGTTGTCAAAATTAGCTGTTAAAAACATATGCTAACCTTGCAAGTTGCTTTACAAATCACTACGGGATGTTGTTTCTGTCCTGACTGGATGAAGATGTATGTGCCAACTTCCTCCGTGTGAACTAAGGACTCAGATGTTTTAAGTTACACATGTACAAAAAGTTGCTGGATCCCAGTCTGAAATGCAGCCATGTAAGAACGGAACCCTGCAGCTGTTAGCAGCTCGCTGTTAACACTCGACACGAGAGTTTAAGACAGAAAAGCAAGAGGATTGTATCCTACAGAATTAACATGACATGAGAAGTTCATCCTTTCTATAGGTGTCCAAGAGTGTTTTGTATGTGGGACTGTCAGCTGCTGTATAAGCGTTGTGATATTTGTACTGGTTGGCAGATGTGTTCCTGTGGAGCTCTTTTTTTTTTTTAATCTCCTTCTGCTGCACTCCTGATTTAGATACATGTCTTTAAAAGTTTTCTCTAACATGTTCATTATTGTAGTTGTTTGTTGAGATAATGCGAAGCTAGAAGGAATTCTGGTCACATCTTTGTGACTTCTTCAGCCTGATGGGGCTCTCCTCTGAGTCGCCAAGGTTGTCCTTTTAACATCTCAATACAGAAACACATGAAGGAACTGCAACAGAAGCTGTTGTCAGAAATCTCAAAAGATTTTGGAATCTCACTATGGTGACATGGCCATAATAATGGCTTGGGCCCTGCTCCTGTAATAGCAATAATACAATCCTGTGTCCACATCTAGAGCTTTTGTTATATTTTGGGTATGTGAGAAACGCCAACTCACTAATAGAATGTGAAAAGAAGGCAAAGTCTTCAAAGCAAAAATATAAAAATAGTTTATTAAAATGTACAAGTCAGCTGAGCTGGGTGCCTTCCCTAAAAAGGAGACACACACTCCTCTTGGCTCTTAGAGAAATTACACCTTTTCCCAATGGCCTGATTTCCCTGAGACTCAGGGACTTACAATCTTCCCGTCCGCCTACTGAGCTCATGTCAGGATTACAATTAATTGTAAATTAAAAATGATTAAGTCTTTCTTTTCTTATGACCTCCTTTGCACAATTTTTGGTTATAAACTTCTTACACAGACAATTCACACAAGTTCCCTTTTACAAAGCATGGCTCTGTGTTAGTCTGAGTTTATAGAAACTTATTTTCCATATGTACAGGCAAATTCATTATGGCTGAAGCAAAATGGTTATCCATCTCTTGCAGGTAGAAGTTGAAACCCCCTTTTGGTCTCATCCTCTGCTTTCAGAGGTGAGTGCAGAAAGTGGACTCATGATTTAGGAGTTGGTTTTTTTTTCTTTTATACATTGCTTCATCCCTAGGTCAGAAACCAGAACATGAGAAAAGTCAAGTCAGAAGTGGAATCGGAAGCCTCTGAGATGCTTTGTTCATGGAGGAGGTGGTTCCCTAATATTTCCAGTCCAAGAAAGGGCCGTTTTGGGAAGAGGTGCTTTTTCAGCCCCCTGTAGAGCTTGCTTGGGCCAGAGAAGCACCGT